GAACAGTCAGGATTTTAATCAACGATTTCCATGAAAAAAGAAATATAAAATAAAAATTAAACACCATTCCTCTCTTTACAGACCATCACCAAGAGCCAGTCGCGTATCCTTTCACTGACGCAACATTTCGCGGCCTTACCCACAGCTCCATATTATTTTTATTTTTGAATTTTTTTCTTCACTTCAAGAACAAAATCAAACTTTAACCAAAAATTTTCATGACAACAAACTTTCATCCAAACCTCTCCTCTGTTTAAAACCATTATCAAACGCCAACCGCGTATCCTTTTGTATACCCAACTCTCGCGGCCCTCGCCTACCATTCCAAAAAAATGTTATTCACTTTATACACAAAATTAATACCTCAAAGCCTCACAAACTAATTACGTAGTCGCATAATTGATTCCCCCTTAATTACTCATTTACATTATTTAGGATTAACATAAGATGAATAAAAAGAACTGCTCATCCATTCTTTATCCCCCACCCCACCCCCCTCCCCAAAGTGCTTGAAGTGATCAGTGGAAGCGCGCTGTAATGGCGCTAATGGCAGCTCCAAAGAACCGCTTTACAATTCTGATTTTACCAACGATACCGCTGGTTAGTTCTCGTAGGAGGGCGTCATTCTGGAAAGAAAGAAAAATAAAAATGGGAATCTAAGACAAAGATTCTGCCATTAAAAAAGTATCAAGAAACAAAGTGAACCATAATTAGTGATGACGTTGTTACGCAAAGGCGGCGTTTGAAAATCAGAAATGAATGATAAAAAAAAACAGTTTTTAGATGGAGCGCTTTTAAATTGAGCGTCGTAAAACAAAAAATTACTAATCACAACGACCAATCAGAAGAGAGGAAATCTGTTAATTGTAAGAGCCAATGAGAACTCAAAGTCAAAACAACCAAACTGGCTAAAGCGCGGGAAAACGCGGGAAAACGTGGGAAAACGCGGGTGACCAGGTAACAATTGGTCCTGGTTTTGTATTTGATTGGTTAAAAAAATGTCGCGAATTTCTGGACCAATCACCGAGCGAATTTAATTTTAGCCATGCAGTCTCGGATTACTCTCGATACCCAATTGAATTGGGGGAGGGGAGAGCGAGTTTTCTGGACCAACTCAAGAAAGCAGTGTAGTAAAACTTTATCAGTCCTGCACTACTGTTCATAATTGCTCACACACTGATGGCGCTTTTGTTATTAAGAGATCAGATGATCAAGGTTTCATCAATATTCTGAAACATCTGCCCCAGTAGCTCACCACATTCCCATAAAAAAATATTCATGGAATTACACTCGAATACGAAAAGGGGAAAAGAGTGAGTACATCAAGAAGTTTCTTACCTTCTGTCGAAGAAATTCGATTGTCCTAAAAATAGAAGACAGGTCCGTGTTAATGAAGAATTTTATTTAAAAAGGAATCTTTCAATTTCCAATGAGAGAATAATGGAGTTCATCTTCGAGTGTTTAACTCGATATCGAGTGAACGCAGATAGGTATCATTTTGTTTATAGTACAAAAACCATGGGCCTTAACTGACAAGAAATTTAATCCAACGACCTTGGATTTAGAATGGTGAATACTTTGCCATTCATTCATCAAGCTGACAGAGTGGCGCGAAAGGGGAGTGAGGCATCAGCAGCTG